GGAGGCACAGGGTCAGAAGCAGCCCCTGAGCCGCGGGGCGCAGCCTGGACACGGCTCTGACGAGAGCGAGGCATTGTGGGCCGGCAGCGGGCACCGTGCAGACGCCCACGTGGACACGCGCACAGACACCAACACGGACACACAGGTGCACTGGGTTCCAACACAGGACAGGCCTGCCTTAGGGGGACAGGCGCCCCTGGGGGATGGGACGGGGGACCCCTGCCCCCCGGAAGGGAGGTCTGCGGCTGCAGGGGAGCCGGGCAGGGGGCAGGGGGTCCAGAAAGACATGCCGGCCATTTGCCGTTTTGAGTCCAGGTGCCCTCGGGGCGTGTGACCCCCCAGATGCTGCCAAAGGCAGGGAGCCCCCCACCCTGGGCACACTCCATCGGAGCGCGCTCTCACTTAATGCGCGCACAACACACACGCACACAACACACGTGCACACACCACACACACACACGCACACGCCTCCCCGCCGTGGAAGGACTAGAAGGAATGTGCGGGATGGCTTTTCACGGGGAAGAAACACGGTTGAACGGGGTTGGGTCTCAGCGTCACCAGCTGGGGACAGTCCCAGGCCTGGAGCCCTGCACGGGGAGTGGGCTTCAGGGCGGGGCCTGGCCATGTCTGCCTCCGGCCCCCACCCCCCCAGGACTCGCAGAGCCGCTCCCTGGGCCCTGAGGGGGAGGAATATGGCTGTGGGTGGCCCTGCAAGGCCGGGTCCTAATCAGGGGGTGCGTTTCCCTCTCAGCCGCCCCCTGAAGGCTCTGCTTGTCTATCACCAGAGGCAGGAGGGGTGAGGGGAGCACGCCTCCCTCAGGCGGCTGAAAGGGAGGCGGGAGCCCCGGAGGGGGTAAGGCTGAGCCCCGCCCCCATGATGCCCGAGGCAGGACCCCCCTCCCACCGCCTCAGCCCCCAGCAGCTGGGCCCTCCCAGGACACTGCCTGCCCTCAGCCTCCGAGAGAACTGGCTCCGCCCCAGAGTAGCCCCCCGACAGGCCCCTCAGCAAACGCTGAGCCACATTCACGCTATCGGGAGGGAGGCAGCTCCACAGGCTCCGCAAACAAAGACAAATGTGACGACGGGAGCCGAGGCCCATGGCTTCCGGGCGCCATGAAGGAGGAAATGAAACACCTCGTTCTGAAAGGAGCCTCCCCTGGGACTCGCACTCATCGACGCAGGCACAGGCGCTCGCACATGCACACGCACACACACGCACACGCACACGCACGCACAGCCTCTCACCTACTGCACGGCTCAGAGTGTCGCCTGCGTCACCGGCCTGGGGCCTCCTGGGGAAGCCGGGCTGCGAAACGCGGCGGTGTGTGTGTGCATGTGACGTGTGTGTGCGCGTGTGATGTGTGTGTGCATGCATGTGTGTGCGTGTGCGTGTGTGTGTGCACGAGGTCTTAGTTCTAAGATACCTCTGTTGAAAGGCTTGGAGATAAAGCAAGAATACTCCAATAGCAATGGGTAAGCTTCACCCAGATCTTGTTTTCTAATACATTCCCCACCAAAAGGAACCGAGCTTCTTGGACTAATGGCAGATTCTAGTCTAGGACTGGGGAGGTTAAGAGATGAGTGTGGAATATTTTTTATGCAGAAAGTAAGGAAATGAATGAAACATCCCCAA